GCGGGCGCTGCGGCGGCCACGGGGCACGCGCCCCCCCAGCGCCGCGGGGCCTGCGGGACACGCTGGGACGCCTCCCGACCGGCCAGGGGACACGAGGTGGTTTGGGATCTCGGGGGCTTCCTAGAGCCCTTCAGGATCCGGAGTCGCCTCCCCTCTTTTGGGGGGCTGCCGTAGGCTGATCGTCCCCGCGGACCAGACGCGGCCATGCGGCGTGCTCGTGGTGGAGCTGGGGGAACCGGGGACCGAGCCTTAAACCTGCTCGAGAACCGAAGGGTGGCTCACCATGATGTATTCGTTGTCCCCGATGCAGGGAGTGACGGGCGTGCGGCCCACCATGCTCGTTCCCCTTTCATTTAGGGCTGTGCACGGCTGGAGATTAGGAAGGAGAGTCCGTACGAACATTTGAGCCGCGCTTCCTTAAACACTTAGGTCCCTAACCAGTCTCGTAAGAGCAGTCGCATTATTTTGCTCAAGTCCGGATTGAATACGCACTGGGTTAAAAATAACTCCAGTATTTTTGCTTCCAGGTCTCGCGGATCCGTTTGGCGGCCCTCCCTCTGGAAGGTACGGCATTACGAGCAGCTGCAAAAAGCTTCCTCTTCCAGCTTATACTTCATATTAAGTGATATAATTGTTTAGAGACATCAGACAGCAAATGCCCGGACACTTAAATACATTGCTGCAAAATGTAGTAGCTACGGTGGCTTTAGGTTTAAGATTTACTTGCATCTTCCAAGTAATATCCACCCACTGGGTTAAATAATAACATATCAACAACACTTTAATATGTTGTAGAGGTATGGGGCACTCTTTCCTGGTATATGCCAATTAGCATCAACAGAGCACCACCAGGAATTAATCTGGTCCGGTAACAATTTCATGCAGTAACTCTTCAATTACTGCTAGCTGATAAATACAATTAGGCCTGAAAATCATTTACTAAATCAATATATTTTCCAGTCTGTGCATCCTGTTTACTGAACTGCTTACATAAAGAAATGGCTGGATAAATGGGATATTTAAATCACTTAGCCAAAAGCAGTCGACAAGAAGTCGCCATAAAACCCTTGGTGTGGGCTCTGCTATTATTAGTATTATTCAAGCAATGCAGTAGGAATATTGGGGGGAAATTATGGCTGGCATAGCTCCATCAAAATGGACTGAAGTTACACAGATGTTGTGTTTGGCCTGGGACATACCTGTGGACAGCTAAATGCCTACGTACATTGATCTATTATCTTTTATTAGTCTACTGGTATGCCACAGTTCATAGCAATTCGACCTCACCCTTCATTGTAATCATTACTCACAAATATGTTATTCAACCTATGGGCTGCTCTCACGCGCTTCCGCTGCAAGCCCATTTCAGGCTGATCATATAGAAAAGTGGGTAACGGGCGACACGTGAGCAAATGGAGAAGTCGAGCAGAATTTACAGGCCCTGCTGGACAGGTGGGCTCAGGCACACGTCCATAGATGCTAGGGTCGGGAGGGACCACAACATCTATGGGGACATGCCGTGCCACTTCTATTAGGTGCATGTGGTCAGTGGTAAGCTTGAAATTTGAATGAAATGAGGAATACATACATGCTAGCACTGGGTACTTGTCACCTGTCTGCTTACAGCTGACACTGGCTTCTGTGTGACTGCAACAGTATGACCTTGTTATTCAAAACTGGTAGATAGTTGCTATGCCGACACGCTATCACATGCCACGAATGTGCACACCCGGCCTCTGGGAAAACAGGGTCTGGATGAAACCCCTTTTTCCACATACTGCCTCAAAAAATGATGCACGTGGGGATGTTACACAGATGAGGCATGAAAGGGGGTGGGCAAGTTTCTTAGCCTGAGGTTCCTCCAGAAGTGCTGTTTCTCAGCCTCAGTGGAGGGACGTTATAAAGGAGAACAGTGCTTTTGCTTTGAGAGCTCTGGGTGACTGGCACCGTGTTATACTATTATTAATGATCTGTTGAGGAAGACTCTTATGAAGCTGTGAAAAATGTCTAGGGGGATATTAAATGGTTCTTTGTCGTGAGTACCAAACACTGATTGGCAACCTGTCTCCCTGTCCTAGTGAGACTTGTTTAGGACCCAGAGGTCTGGCAGTGTCAGCTGTTTGCTTAGCATTTTAGTTCTGTCCCAGCCCTACCCTGCTAGGTGGAGTCGGTATGTAGTTCAGCTTCCTACGCAGGCAGGAAAGGCTGCTGAGGTTACAAGAGAGGTGAACTGAGATATGCAGAGTTTGTCTGCTTTTGGGCAGATACATATTCCACTTCAACAGTGACATCCAACTCCCTTCATCCGCCTTCAGGAAACATGAAGATGTTGGGACAGCATGCCCTCTCCCAAATCAGCTGGGAGCTAGCGAGCTCACCGCCCACCACCAAAACCCTTCAGGCTGAGCCATGAGATGCTACAAGATGCATCTTGTACCTTTACTGGAATCCCTTTTAGATGACATTTTCTGAGCATTTAAAATTACTCACCACCAGATGCCTTTCCTGCAGGAACTGTTGATTATACAATCTGCTGGTTATACCAATCCAAACCCACAGCAGTATGGAAATGGATTTTTTCCTCCAGTATTGATTAACCAGCCCAAATAAATACCAAAGTGCTTTTTTCCTGGCAAGAGGAATTCATTTTTTTTTGCAGCAAAGAAACAGACTGAAAAGGACTGGGTTTAGAATTCAATCACAGAGCACCGAATGCAGACTCCGAGTTAAGTGCCAGCCAGGACTGGCATGCATCCTCCTTTAAATTCAGTGTTCAATTTTATTAGATGCTTAAAAATGGATTTAGTTATAACCCTGCTCCTGGATCTCCCTCTGTCCTCTGGTCTCTCTCAAGTTCAACAGCAGAACCAGTGCATACGCATCTGTGTTTTGAAAGTCATCTTAACAATTTGTTTGACCTTGAAAAAACGAAAAAAACAGTTGGTTACCTAGACTCTTAAACCCGCAAGCCTAATTTATGGAGCATATTAACCCTTGTAAGCCCAGCAGCTAACCACCAAGTACATTTTTGGGTTGCATCTGTGACTTGTGAATTGCCTTTTGTCTCTTCAGAAAGTGCAGGATCCAGGATCTTCTATTTAGAACCTGCACTTTAGTCAGACAGTTGTCCCCAAACCATTTGAACATCCAGCCCGCTGAGAGAGAGATATGGAGAGCGAGCACTTATTCGGCACCTTATTCTTCAGGCAGGAAAAGGTGGGCAGCCCAAGAGGAACCTCGTTTTATATCTACCTTGCTCACCTAAATCCCACGGAGAAAAAGAGATTCTTTGCATATGGGTTTGCTATGTGTCCCCACACCTGTGTGTCCAGACAGCTCAGTGTCTAACCGCTGAACAAAACACAAGTTCTTACTTTGGCCTGTTCAGATGCATTGGAACGTGCGGTTATTGAAATAAAAACAGCTGCATTTTTCACTGTGCTCTGTTCCCACTGCGACATCAGCAGGACATCCACATTAGCTGCCAGGACGAAGGCACAGATGGAAGCACATAGCACTGGTGGGGGGCTATGACCCTAGAATCTCCCCTTGCACACCTTTCTGATGGGATTCTTCAGTGTTTACATCCAGAAAATCTGGGTGTATCCCAACACGCACACATCTGAAGCAATGAAAGCAATGCGCTACAAAAGTTCAGTAGACCCTTTGCAATTTTTTGACCCCTATAGCAAACCAATTTCTTCCAGCTTTGCAGCAAGTGCCCTCAAGTGAAAGTCTAGAGGGTAACCTAAGTTATCAGACTAAGCTAGCAGTGCTACCTGTTGGGTGGAAAATAAAGACCATTTAAGCAGAGGAAAACTTTTCTCTCCAGGTTTGCATAAGTCAAAAGCCTCTAAACACATAATGTGAAAAACTAGGCCAATACTAAATTAGTTGCTTTATTGCATTTCTGGGCAGACACCCAAGAAAGGTTACATCTAGGATTTGCAAAGGAGTCCATATGTCTTGCTCCAAAGAAAAGCAACCTAGAATGCCACGGCAGAATAACTGCTGTGCACTAGCTCCTTGTATGGTGGCTCCTATTCCGTGGGTGCCTTTTTATGCTTGACTTTAGCATCTTTCTGGACTGTAAAAGGTCCAAAAAATACCTTTTGCAGGTACACTGTCAAAAAGTATGCGTTCTTACTTTACATTGGCCAACCTGAGCTGGGTAACTGGAGTTAAACCAAGATGATGTGGTGCTAACCAACCGTGTTCAAAGAGCTTTGGGTGGAATTTGTGCTGCTAACCAAACCCAAGTTCCTTTCCCTAAGCAAGGTAAGGTAGCAACAAGGACAATTTCAGGCAAGAGCACAGTTTTTAAGCAGTGGGAGAGTCTGGTTTTCATTTCTGCAGTATAGATTTCTCTTAGTATGGAATAAAAGTATCCACCACACAGGGAGGAGCACATCAGAATAGCTCTTGTGTTTTGTGTCCGAGCCCTACCTTGTTTGCTGAGAGTTTCCCCATACAAATAAGACCCAAAGCAGCAGCCTCCAACACGGTGACTCACAGGCAGCAGTCTGTGATGCTGTCCCACATTGTGGCCACAGGCACTTAGGAAGTGAAAACCAAGACCTTTGCCACTGTGGTCCAGGTCGAGGGGAGAAGCAAAGCTCTCTGTAGCTCGCTATAAGCCAAGTACTTTTGCCCAAAGGTCAGCGAAGGCTGGAGACCACAGACCATGGGACAGAGCCAACTCACTCCCACCACATTTCCTTGAGTATCTTTGGGTGTATATATTTCCTTCAGCTTCTTCAAGCTTTCCATCTGCATGTG